TTTCTATGGCTGAGTCATATTCCATTGTATATATGTGCCACATCTTCTTTATCCATTCCTCTGTTGATGGACACTTAGGTTGCTTCCATGTCTTGGCTATTGTAAATAGTGCTGCAATGAACATTACAGTGCATGTATCTTTTCAAATTAGAGTTTTCATCTTTTTCAGATATATGATATGAAGTTTAATAATTTGCTTTAGGTACACAGTTGTTATGTGGCTGACCTGGGACTTGAACCAGAGACTGAGTGATCCTAAAGATTAGGTGTGAGGAACCATAAATGTTTTCAAGTATTAGTGTAGCTGCTGCCTTGTTCTGGTCCTTTTTTTTTTTTTTAATTGAGACAAAACTAACCATTTAAAAGTGCACAATTCAGTGGCATTTAGTGCATTCACAGTGTTCTGCACCTGTCAACTCTAGTTCCAAAATACTCTCATCACCCCAAAGGAGACCCTGCACGCATTAGGCAGTCACTCTCCAATCCCCTCACCCCAGCCTCTGGCAGCCACTAATCTACTTTCTGTCCCTATGGCTTTGCCTATTCTGGACACTTATATGAATAGAATCATATACTCTGTGACCTTTTGTGTCCGACTTCTTTCATTCAGCATAACGTTTTCCAGGTTCATCTATGTTGTAGCGTGTGTCAGGCTGATTAATATTCCATTGTTTGGCTATACCACTTTTTGTTTATCCACTCGTTGGTGGACATTGGCTATTGTGAATAGTGCTGCTGTAAACACGTGTGCACGTATTTGAATACCTGTTTGCCGTTCTGCGAGTTCCACTCAAGAGTGGCATGGCTGGGATAAGTGGTAATCTGTGTTTAACTTTTTTTCTTTTTTTTTTGGCTGCGTTGGGTCGTCCTTGCTGCGCGCGGGCTTTCTCTAGTTGCGGTGAGCGGGGGCTACTCTTCTTTGCAGTGCGCGGGCTTCTCACTGCGGTGGCTTCTCTTGTTGCGCAGCACAGTAACTATTTTTTAGGATGCTTTTCTGCATGTGGCTGTAATGCCCTGGTGGGCCCCAATGGCCCCTCACACAGGGCCGGGTGCTGGGCACTGAGCCCATGTGCATCGGGCGATGCAGCCTCCTTCTTCTCTGCCCGCTTGGCTCCAGCCCCCTAATCTGTCCCTCTCTCCCTGACAGACGTGCCCGTGGAGAAACTGGCCGCCATGCCCGCCTTGCGCAGCATCAACCTGCGCTTCAACCCGCTGAATGCCGAGGTGCGCGTCATCGCCCCGCCGCTCATCAAGTTCGACATGCTCATGTCTCCGGAGGACGCGCGGGCCTCCCCACCCTAGGCCTCCCTCCTCAAGCCCGCCCAGCAAGGGACAGAGGCCACCTGGCCTGGCGCCCTGAGGGGAGGGAGTCCCACGAGCCCATGGGAGGCCAAGTTTGGGGGGCTGGGGGCGGGCGGGCTGAATAGCGTGTGGCGGGAGGGGTGTGGCGGTCCAGGATAGATAGCGTAGAGCAGTAGTGGGCCCTGGAATGCCTGGAGGGAGGAGGCGAGGAGGGGGCTGGGGCCCAGACTCTGGGCACTCACAGCTTCCGTGCAAACCTGGGCAGATCCTCTGAGCCTTACAATTTGAGGAAAGGGGCAATGGCAGGGGCTTTTGCCTCCTTTGGGCTCCCTAAAGGCTTTTGGGGGAACACATGCCTCCAAGTTACCTTCAAATCATTGGTACCTTCTGGGCCCACGGATGAGCATCGCTGAGCGTTTTCCAGGCCCTTGTGGGTTCGAGGCCTTGTTTCTAGGGCTGAAAGCCAGTGGCTGCCATAAGAGGGACAGAAGACAATCTCCATCTATTTATTGATTCCTGAGAACCGACCAGGCTGAGGCCTTCCACAGTGCCCCATCCTCAGCCCTGTGGGTCCCTGGATTGGCAGGAACCTGAACCAGGAGTCATGGGAAAGCTGTGGAGACAGTGTGGCCCGACACTGTAGCAGGGTTGAGAACATTTGTATAGGAGCCCAAGAACCAGCAGACTGGCAAGTGGAGAGCAAATCAAGTAGGCTCTGTCCTTCCTCGTGACTAAGAAATCGGTGGGGTAGGCAGTCAGGAGTGCCCCATCCCTCCCCTGGGCATGAGCGGGGGTGCCTGGCATCAGCCCTTCTGCTGCAGGAGACGTGGCCCACAGAGAAGCAAAGCCATTTGCACCTGCGCCACCCTCAACAGTCTCCCTCTGGCAGGAGTCTGGCTGCCTTGTCACTGGTCCACACAGGGGCAGAAGGCACTATGGACCATTGGATTCGTGGCCAGCCAGCTCCCAGGCCACCACCCAGAGCCCTGATGACCTAGTCATCTCTAGGCCCTCAACCTGGAGTCTAGAGTGTGGCCAGGTAATTGCGTGACCAACCATCTCTGTTTGCCCGGGACTTAGGGCTTTCCTGGGACGTGGGACTTTCAGTGCTAACACTGGGATGACACCTGGCAAACGGGCAACTGGTCCCTCTACCAGGAGAGAGCCTGAGGCTCTTGCTTCCTGACAACACCTGTGGTTTGGAGAACCTCTGACCCCTTGATCCCCAGGTATCTACCTCCCACCTTCTCATCTGTGGAGCAAGCAGACTCAGAGCCCACCTTGCCTGGTCTGTGGGAGACACCTGAGGCCCCAGGACTCAGAGCAAGCCAGGCTACCCGGATCCTACATTTGTGGACCAGGGACCAGTCTTCCACTCCCAAGGTTAGGCTGTTCAGAGCTCAGACCACCGCTCAGAGCACTAACCCTTGATCAGAATGCTCCCTGTTCCATTCCCCCTCTCCAGCTCCGAACCCTGCCCCTGCTCAGGCCTTCTGTCTCCTGGCGAGAGGCTGACAGGTTGGGCCATTGTTGGCCCGTTGCTGAGCCCTCGGTGTTCATGTTCACTCTGCTCATCTCCCAAGGCCTGGTCGGTGAAGCTCTGGAAAAAAGGGTTTTCAGGGTGAGGAGGCTGAAACGGGATCTTCTAGGGCTTCCGAGTTCAGCCATGGACGCTGGGGACAAGTGAGTCTGCAGTCCAGCCTAGGCTGTCCTGGTCCCCCCTACCCCCCAGCCTGTGTCTTGGAGTGGGGTTTCTCCTTGTCAGAGAAGGGGCATACTTTTCCGACACGCACAAAGGCGTTGTATGGCTAGAGCTTTGCAACTCAAGTATGGTCCATGGGCCAGCAGCATTGGCGTCCACGGGAGCTCGTTAGAAACGCAGAATCCCAGGCCTCACTCCAGACCTCCGGAATCAGAACCTGCATTTCAAAAGATCCCCAGGTGATTCCTATGAGCACTTTACTGTTTGAAAAGCAGAGGCCTGGGGTGACCCTCGGGATGTCCTCAGAGTGGAGGGTGAAGGTTCTCAGCTCTCCCCCTGCCCTGTCAGGGGTCCGAGTCTGTGCTCATCCCCCTCCCTAAAGCAGTCCCCAGAGACCTTGGGCCTCTTAGATCTTTCCAGAGTCTGTGTGGCACTCCCAGTGAAGGGACTGACCCAAAGCCACCAGGAGAGGAGGGCTGGGTTAGCCCGGCCCTCTGGAACCCTGCCTTTCTGGGTAACCTCTGCATGCTAAGCTGCTGCTTCCCCAGGTCCTCACCTCAAGCCCTCTGAAGGGGATGCTTCTGGAAGCTGTTTTCTACTCTGTTTGGAGAGTTTGCCCTTGCCTGCTGGGAAAGCTTGGGCATCAGAGATGGCCCCAAATCAAAGCCCACTGTGTGAGTGAGCCCTTAGTTTCAGTCTGCAATAAAGAACACGTTGGTTTCATCTGCCTCTTGGTGTTTGATTTATTCTCACAGCACACATCTCTCGTGGCCAGAGTGTTGATCCCACCATCAGCGGAGAGGAGGGGCTGCCCCTCTTGCTGGAAGTGTGAGGTAAAGCAGCTTGGCTGGGGTGAGGCTCGGAACGCTCACAGTGGGTGGAGGCACGGCCAGGCAGAGTTGACGCTGTGCTGCTGCAGAGCGCTGAATATCAGCTAGGGGAGACCCCGTACCTGCGGAAGCATGAAGGCACCTGCTGTGCCCCACTTCTCCTGGACTGATGCCAGAAATTCTGCCCTTAGCAACTGATTTCTCAGGGTCCAAAGTTCTGAAGGAGGCGTCTCTGGACCAGCAGCATCGTCCAGGGAGCGGGTGAGATAGCTCCCCCCCACCCCCATATCTACAGAATCAGATGCTCTGGAGGTGGGGCCCAGCACTCGGCTTTAACAAGCCCTCCACGTGTTCTGATGCAAGTTAGAAACTGCTTCTGGGTTCAAGGTTTAAGTCAGTTTTTGTTTTCTAAATCTGGGAGGTCAGCCTGAGTTTGCCTTGAGTTTTAGGCTAGACTCGCCATCATTTTTATTTAACAAACACGTATAGAGCTTAGTGCATACCAGGCAGTGTCCAAGCACGTTACAGATATTAACTCATTTAATCCATCGAAAAGCCACAGTGAGCTCTGTGAATTGGACAAATCCTTTTCCCCTCTCTGGACCCCGATTGCTGTCTGTAAAGGGAAGGGGCTGTACTAGGAGATCCCTGAGCGCCTTTCCACAACTCACCTGGTCACTGTCTCTCTGATTCTGGGGGCTCTGCTATAGCTGTCTTCAGTGGACTAGCCTGGACTCAGGCTGCTGCCCATCCCCACCCCAAAGGTCAAGCAGAAGACTCCCCCTGACTCCGTTTCTTCTTGCTGAATGCTGGCCCACCAGAAATATCACAAATTGACCCATTGGTCAGGCAAAGCTGAGCCGACTCTTCTCCCAGTAAGGGACAGCTTTACTACGTCTTCCCAGCGTGTCAGCATGGGGAGGGCAGAGTCATGGTAGTGAGATTTCGGAGTCTGGTTTCAGGTGGGGCCTTCAGTGCAGGGGAGGACGCCTTGACTAGGATTGCATAAAGATTGTGATATAGTTTAGCATCGGTGGACACAACAAAGAGACGTTTTAAGGCGAGGAGTTCAAAGAGTCTTAAGCTTAAGTCTTAAGCTCTCTTTTGATGCTGTTTACTGAAGAGTCGGGCAGTTTGATGTTCATTTAAATGATTCTTTCTGGAATTTCCTAGAATGAACAACACAGTGATTTACAACTTTTACTTCCTGGGCACGAGTTTCCTGGAATAGTCCTGTTATGTTGAAGAGGATGGGATGCAAAGACTTATTAATGTCGAAGGTAAGGTGTATGCGACTAGAGAGTCGTTTTGTTTTGTTTTGTTTGAGAATACAGCTGACATATTAGCTTCAGGTGTATAACAATGATTCAGTATGTGTATATACTGCAAAATGACCATCACAATAAGTCTAGTTAACATCCATCACCACACATAAAGGGTTTTGGTCCTCAGGCTCTCCCAAATTCAGTGTTGGATGAAAGGGCCTTACTTTGGAGCTGCCATTTACATGAAACATGCCTGTCCCTTCTCAGAAAGCTGGCCCTGGGCGGGGACCAGTTCCTGGAAGGGTGAGCGTTAGCAGGGGCCCAGATGGCCTGGCCAGAGCACTGGGAGAGTTGCCAAGGCCTGGGAGGGCAGGCCTGAGAGACCACGTCACTGGATCGCTGGGCAGGTCATGGGCTGGGCCGGGCCCAGGGGCAGCCGGATCATGCTGTGGACATGTGTCTCAGGGCCGGGTGGGCTGGACCCATCCCTCAGAAAAGGCACACAAGCCCAGATGCTTTAGGTCCAAGCAGGAGCAGTCACTGAGCGCCTACTGTTTGTCAGCACTGGGCCAGCACTTGTATGTTTTCTCGTTTACTATCAGCAACAGCCTCTTGGTGCTCACTCTGCAGACGAGGACAGGCGTAGGGCTTGGGGGTTGGTGTGTGGCTCGGAAGGAGCAGAGCTGGGGTTTGAACTGGGAGGCTGGCTCGGGTGGGAGAAGCGATTGCTTTTTCCAACTCACACGTTCCTTCTCCCATCACATTCCTGTGAAGAGCCTCTGAGCCTTGCTTTCCTCATCTGTAAAATGGGTGCAAAGACTGCCTCCTATAATGCCACAGGTGGTGTAGGTAAGTAGCCCTTGGTGATCAGCATTATGCCCGTTTCACACACCCGAGAGCTTCCTCACCCATCTGCTTACACCTGCCCTTGTGTGGACAGCTTTAGTGCCCTGACAAGAACCTTGCCTCTCTCAGGGGAGCACAGAGCTGTTTGTCACACATCCCTGGGGCACATCTGGATGTTGATGGGCACATCTGGATGCTGATTCCCACAGGGAATGAGAAGACTGACAGCTCACTGCTCCCCCCATCTTCACAGTTCAGGGACCTATGAAGTTCTGCCTCGGGCCACCAAGGACAACTAATAACTCAGGACAATGAGGCATTCAAGGCCTTGGCCAGGAGCCAGTTGGGGTTCATGCTACTCTGTGTACATCCAGATTCTTACCAGCCAAGAGCACCCTGGCACCCTCTCTCCTGTAGACAGGAAGCACTTAAATTAGGGTGCCTTCAGGGGTGGACCCTGCAGGACTGCCACACCACACAACTCCAGTGGTGCCAGTCAAAACGCATTCTAGCTTATAGACGCCAGTTACCTAGAAAATAACGTGCATGGGCTCCGGGAGTTGTACAAGGGATGTCTGGACTATATAAGAGATTCAGTCACGAGGATCTTTTTAGATGCAGGTTCCAGTCCCACCTGAGCCCCAGTAAACCAGACTCAAAGCAGGGCCCACACCTCTGCACCTTAATGAGTCTCTGTTTCTCCCTCACACAGCACCCAGAGTATCCTTTTATTTTTATTTATTTATTTTGGCCGTGCTGCGTGGCTTGTGGGATCTTAGTTCCCTGACCAGGGATTGAACCCAGGCCCTTGGCAGCAAAAGTGCAGAGTCCTAACCACTGGACAGCCAGGGAATTCCCCAGAGGATCCTTTTAAATCCTAAGCCACTGTCTGCCCATGTCCCACAGGGGCTCTCCATGGCACTTCAGTGCAAAAGCCAAGTCCTTACAGTGGACTTTAAGACCTGGCATGGTCTTCCCTCCATTACTTCTCTGGGCTTCACTACTTCCCCCTTCTTCACTGTACTCCAGGCACACTGGCCTCCCACGGTTCCTCCATCCCTTGGAGTGGCGGATGGCCGGTATGCGTGACCTGAGGGAGGATGGGCATCCCCCAGTCTCCCCCACTAGCCTGTCACTGTGCCTGAAATCCCACCAGAAGGAGAGCATTGCTTTTGGCTTAGCATCGCCCTCTCCCTGAGATCCTATTCCAACCCTTGACAGGATTGTGAAGGGGATTCCTATAGACGAAGCTCAGAGGTTGGATGGGACTCTCTCTCCTCAGAGCGTGATTCTCAGCATCCAGAGCACCTGGGGGCGCGTCACACCTGCAGAGGCTGGGTCCCTCCCCTTACCTTCTGAATCAGAATCCACATTTTAACCCCCCACATGATCCATGGGCATGTTAAAGTTTGAGGAGCTTGGCTTTTGATGGCTCTGTGATCCCCTCTCCCCTTCTCAAAGTCCCTGTGGTAGGCAGTGCCAAAGTGTAATTTTGGTACTTGCAGTGAGTCTTGCAGTGGGTCTCTGCCTTGCCTGCATATTAGGATCACCTGGAAAGTTTTGAAAAAATACTGATTCCTAGGCCCTGCCTGCCAGAAACTCTGATTCAGTTGGTCTGCACTGGGTCCCAGCACTGGTGGATTTTTTCTTAAAAGCTCCCTTGTGTGATTCTAAGGCGCGGCCAAGGTTGAGAACCACTGGCCTGTAGAGATTTAAGAAGTTGCCGGGCTTCCCTGGTAGCGCCGTGGTTAAGAATCCGCCTGCCAATGCAGGGGACATGGGTTCGAGCTCTGGTCTGGGAAGATCCCACATGCCACGGAGCTACTAAGCCTGTGTGCCACAACTACTGAGCCTGCATGCCACAACTACTGAAGCCCACGCGCCCAGAGCCCGTGCTCCACAACAAGAGAAGCCACCTCAATGAGAAGCCCGTGTGCCACAACGAAGAGTAGCCCCCGCTCGCCAAAACTAGAGAAAGCCCACGCGCAGCAACGAAGACCCAACACAGCCAAGAATAAATAAATAATTAATTTAAAAAAAAAGAAAGAAGTTGCAAAAGGACCCTGAGCTGAATTCAGCCCACAGATGTATTTTGTTTGGCCTGCACAATGTTTAGAAGTAATTTTGAGTTAGTTTCTCAATAATTTTAAATTGGGAGCTGAAATTTTTCATGAAAAATACCTGGGTTTCTGGCTTCTGAAAAATCAGAAAAGCTGGCAACCCTGAACCTACATTCTGACGGCAGTGATCTCCTGGATCTGGAAGCCAGGCAGGAGTGCCCTAGTGGCCACACCTGGCCACATTCATTTATGCACTGGCCTCACCTGCCCCGCCCCTGTAGGCCCACAAGTCTGACACCTGGTTAATGTTCAGCCTGTGCAGAGGGGTGTCTTTCCCTAGGAGGACAGCACAGCAGGAGGAGCGGCCAGTAGGACAGGGGAGGGATGATGAACCAATTTAAAAAGAGGTGGGATTTCCAGGTTTGTGTCCACTGGGAGCAGATTAGGGATCACCAAGTGATTTGCTTCTAATTCCACCTCTGTTCTCACATTGATGCCAAGAATGTGGACTTAAGCAACTGTGTAACTTGCTCAAGGTTACACACTAAGCAGAACTTGTTCTAGAACCGGAGGCTCCTGACTCCCAGACACAGCATCACACAGCCTAACACATGGCACACTGCCAGCCTGGACTTCAGCCAGGTTGCTTGGCTAGGCCTCAGTTCCTCCAAATTCACCACAGCCCATTAAACCTTCCCTCCCTTGGCTGGTGGTTCCTGTTTTGCTTTCTCCAAGGAGAAAGGCAGTCCTTCAGTTAATGCGATTGCCCCTCTGACCTCCCTCAGTGCCCCCATAAAGCTTGATTTAAGAAGATCACCCTGGGCTTCCCTGGTGGCGCAGTGGTTGAGAGTCCGCCTGCCGATGCAGGGGACACGGGTTCGTGCCCCGGTCCGGCAGGATCCCACATGCCGCGGAGCGGCTGGGCCCGTGAGCCATGGCCGCTGAACCTGCACGTCCGGAGCCTGTGCTCCGCAAAAAAAAAAAAGATCGCCCTTTACCTCGTCCCCCGCCCTTCCCTTCAGACCCTTCTCCAAGCAGGGGTCCACATCGATTCCAGTTAGCAAAGGAAATGCTCCTCCCTTCAAGGACCTTCTCAATCCCACTGCCCTCCTGCCAGCTCCTGGCATCCAGCTTTTCAGATGGAAATCAGTTCCCAGGAAGGTGAGGCTGTCTGTGCAAAGACTCCCTGGGGCACAGCACTTGAACCCAGCCACAGCTGTTGGGGGTGGGGTGGGATGGGAAGCAGCTCCCCTGAGCATGAGGGGCGAGGCCAAGGCCTTGGCCAGAATGGGCATAGCGGGAAGCCCTGAAGGGCAAGGAAGTGGTGGGGCTCCTCGAGATGAACAGGGATTGCTTCTGTGCCCTGGATGACTGCACTCATAGTTGCTCCCAGAGGACCAAGAACCTTGAGGGTAGGCTGGGGTGGGGGGCAGCAGGGCCAATACCCTAGGAGTCCAGAGGAATGTTCTGCCTCTTTCCTCCACTGTCCAGCTGTGTAATATTGGGTAAGTCATTAACCTCAGTAGCTTCACCTGTAAAAGAAGAGTGACGATGCCTGCTTGACTGAAGGTTTGGGGCTGGGCAGTACCCCAGACTGACGGGCAGGTGAACCTGGGAGGAGGCATGATCTGAAATAGAGCAGTGGCAGTCAGGTTTTCCGGGAGGCCCTTTGGAGGAGGGAGGGGAGTGAGAGGAGAAACTTTTTAAATCTTCATGGAAAGACCTTTACCCAATCTATCTGTGTAGCCTCCACCCATAACTTTGGGGATAAGGAAGGACACTGTGTCAGTGGTACTTGGCTTTTTATCCTCACAGCAGCCTTGAGAAGATGATAAATCCCATTTTACAGATGGGGAAAATGAGGCTAGAAGGCATAAGCGACTTACGCAGGGCCACACAGATAATAAATGGTGGAGACAGAATTCACACCCAGGTCTTTGTATCCACGGCACTGCCCTGCCTGGCCCTCAAAGGCTGGACCAGTGAGTTTGTTTTGAATGGTGCCACATGTACTTGGGCACGGTACAAAGTTTCCGATGGTGAAAGAAAGAAGTCTGTAGAAGAGGAGGGGGAAGGAAGGAAAAGAGGCTCTGTGATCCAGAATGATTG